ATCAAAATTTTATTAGGTTTGAATAAGTAGGCTAAGTATCTCTTTAACAGAAAGGGTAGATAAAGTGTGCATTCCAATTATTCTTAAAAAAATGGGAGGCGGAACGCAAAATAAAATGAAAATCAGAACAGAAGACAATGGTGTTTCCATGGAAACGACGGGAGAACCTAAGCTTGCCATTTTGGAGGTCTAAATTAAATACCTACCGTATTTTCAGAAGTTTTATAATGATTTCTATGGATTCTGCTGTAAAATAAAGTTTTCTGTTATACACTACGATAAACGAAAATTCACCAGCTCGTGAAACATCTTTCACTCGATGGTTAAAACATCCCTTTATCGTTGTGTAAATAACTATTTTCTTTGTTTATTAAAAAGCTATTATTTATTAAAAAATTTAATGAAAAAAACCCAAATAAAAAATGACACCACAGTGAATTAGGTTCTTATATTAACTAGACTGTCTCGAAATCAAATGAATTGCTGTTTTATGGAAGGATACTGTTGATGCAAGAATAACTATTTTTTTCTCTTTTCGTTTACTTCATTCAAAACCGATCCTAACATAAGGTAGGTGCCAAACCCAATAGGGTACATGACCGTGGAAAAAGAATAAATAAATTTTTGTTTCATAAGATAGTGCAAGGTGTCAGGGTATCGCAAAATAACTTTCTTTGGTCATGTACACGAGAAACTATTATATTTTAGTAAAAATAAAATTAAAAAATAATGACATTTGTCACGTGATATCAAACGCCAATCAGAGCGCGTGACGTCATTATCCTAATCCTCTGTGCGTTTGTAGAGATTGTCTACGTTTTTTAATTTAGTGCTTGCTCCATTTTATAGTGATTATATTATCCTAAAGTTTAGTTTTTAAAACCAGATAAGAATGGAAAGTGGGTATACGAAAGCTGATAGCAGCAAATCTGCCAAACATTGATGAAATGATGCTGGGAATATTTCTTATGCATCAAACACAGATTTTTGTTCATCAGAAAACTGTCATAAGTCTTGTAGGTTTTTAAGTCAAACTTAGATTTTTTACAAGAAATGTAGTTATTTAAGAGGAATGTGTACTTAAGATGCTTTGTTTTTAGGTCATCGAAGCTATCATATGGAGAAGGAGATGATTCACTAAGCTATGTCCACTTTAAGAGTTTTCTGTTACGAACATTTTGTAGATAAAGGTCCAAATTTATAAAGTAGTTCTTAAAACAATTTTTTTTGGAAAAACAGTTTATGGCGGGCACTCTTACAGAACCTTACATTGGGTGCAGTCGAACAGAAGACTTTGGCAACTTATTCACAGTAAAATCAAAATTTGCCCGCAACATACGGTTCACGCAAAGCTGTATGCAGTTTCCTTAGTTATCGACGAAGAAAACAATAATTATTTTCTTTGCGCTACCAGCTTACTTTTACAACCCCTCAGAGTCCAAAGGAGTACTAGTGTCGATAAAGTCTTCTTTATCACGTTTAACAAGTCATGATCTAGTCCGATTATTCGAAACTCTATCGGCAAATGGCTCAATCGGATTCGGAATTTGTCCAAATTGTCGTCTACCGCACGCCTCAGGAGTTAACGTACGTGAAAAATGTGCTACTCATGTCAATATAGTTTTCTATATTACGTTTAATGAGGTATCGTCGAAAACCCTTTTGGATATCTCTACTCCATGAAGCATTTGAATGATACAGCATCCTTGGAACGCGATTTACCCGCCTGGGATACTTAGCTGTGCCACAGGAAAATGTGACTACTGAGCCCTACTACACCACGACAAAGTGTACTTCATGGTAGGGCCTAGGTAGCACCACTTACGGTAGTTATAATTCATCACGAAATCTTTTAAACTATTTACGCTGGGGTTATGTGTACCTATAATTGTCAGGACTGTGACGTCACAGACACCGCCATGACACAAAACAGCGTTTTGGCGCTAGAATAAAAATCTACAATTTAAATTGCATAAATTTGCAATAATATGATTTATTTTGCTGAAATATCATATTTTAAAGTTATAGTAGAGGTATACGAACAGTTATAACTGGTTTTAAAAAATTTGTCATCTACCCTATTATATAAATGATATCGTTTGACTGTTAATTAATTATTATAAATTATACCTGTTGGGGCAACAAACATATTACAGCCCATTATTATTCTTGTTTTGCAGTTGCAGTTTTAATGACCAATTTCCGCCCACAATCAATCCATTCATATTTGAAAATAAAAAAATGCCATTAAAGACGAAAATTATTATACCTGTGTTAAAGTTGTATCATTTGAGCAGGTATTTCCGCAAGGAGTGATTGAGTTTTTTTTTAATATTGTGAGATTCATTACATTTCTCGCAAGATCGTGAGAAAAAACGCAAAACCGTGAAATCTCACGACAAATCGTGAAATCTGGGTTACAACTTATTCGGCGGCGCGACGTGTCTGGGGCGCGCCTACCTTTGCCCTTTTCTTGCGAGGATTTGCTTGCAAGGAAATGGAACAGATTATGAGTAGGAAATAAAGCAAAACCTTTTCCTTTTTCTTCTGCTTGTGAACTCTATAACCTTTTACTTTTACCTTTACCTTTGAAGGAAATACTTTATTTTTATAAATATGGCCTCCGGTCTCTGTTGAATCGCAAGGAAATTGGTAACTGAAGCCTCCTCAAAACTCTTCAGCACTAAGATCAGAGATGATTTCATCAAGACAACGGTTGCTATCAAGATCCCCATTGCCAAGATTTTCAAGCAAACGTAATTTCTATGTGTCAACTATGTAAAGGACTATGGTTTAAGGAGGTTACAAAAACAATGTTGAAGTGTGAAAATTGCAATTTTGTATTTCACAATGAGTTTTGCAATTAATCTCTTATGGACAAATGTATATATTATCTATTTATTTATATTATTCCTGCAGCTATTTGTTGTATCAACATTATAAAGTTAAAGACACAAGAGTGGTGAGCTCAAACAAGCTACACTCAAAAAATGATAAATTAACAATATTACTTATATTATCGGAAATTAAAGTACTCGACTGTGTATGAGTATTTCAGTTTCCTCGCCAATAATGTGTCATTTTCCTGCCTTTTATGTAAATAACTATTGTTCACTATCTAAATACCTGCTCTTCTCCGCCAGAAATCCATATATCCGTACATTGAATGGGAAATGCTTACATTTCATTAGGTGAATAAGGATCTAATGATTCAAAACTTCAGCTTGTATTAATTAAGTATAGCAAGAATCAATTCGGTAGCTTTATTCATTATTTGGAAAGCTCTACCATTATTGCCAAATTTTAAACCTTCTTTGCACTAAAGTTACAATAGGATATGCAGTTCTTTAGCTCTAAAGTGCCTACAGATATGTTGTACAGCGTACAGTCCTTAAATTTAGTGCTTTTTAGTTAAAGTGCAAAAAGTATTCGACTATAAAAAATGGAAAGTAAGCAACATATGCCCCCCCAATTCCCTCCAATTTCAACTGCAATACCATAGGGGGAGGTTGAGGTGTCCCCTTTTCCATAACAAAACTACTCGCAAAAGAAATCGTGCACCTGTATATTTTGTTATCAGCGCAAACCAGACGGACGTCTTCAAATCAAAACTCACGCGATAACAACGTTCTTATCGCAAACGAGACCAGATGTTTAAGTCTTATTTTAACAACGCAATTTTAGCATCTTGCAATTGAAATAAAAAAACTTACACCAATGATAAAGTTTAAACAAGAAATTATGCAATTAAAAACAATTCTAAAATAGAGAATAGACACTAAAATAACAAATTTCGATTAGGTAAACAAATTCTGCTCTTATACGTGATGAAATCCTCTACATTTTAAAATTAAAACATTCACCTATACAGGATGACCCTTCGGTATTATTTCAACCTAAATAACGTCCACCTGGCGTGGTTTACACAACAATATAAAGTATCGCTATACTGCCTCTGGCAAACTTCAATTTGTGTAATCAACATTCAAATATAGAACATGAATGTATCAAAAATAGTGTTTTTGCTTTTTATTATTAAAAACATGCCCCGCCTGACATAAACATCGTCGCGGTGTAAGCAATTTCAGCAAAATTGGCATCCTGCAACTTTTAATTTCATATAGCTTGCTTTTTGTTTGTGACTTGTTTCAAAATTAAACAATATCTTTATTACTATTGACTCTTTGTAAACGATAAACAAAACTCCAGCCGAAACAGACGAAAACCCTCAAATTGTATGTTTGCTTATCTTCTGCGGTTTATCATCGTGGAGTTGTGCGGTTTGTTAAAACCCAGGCTTGGAATGATATTTGCGACGGTTATAATAAGTAATATTAATAACAAGCTGCAGTAAATTTGCTTGAAAACCCAAACTACGGTCATGAATTCGCGTATTATACACCCATTAAACAAGAGTGTGCCCTAACGTATATTTGTAATGCCTTGCTCAATTAGTAGCATAATAATATGCAGTCGTTAAACCGCAAAATTTCATTTGGTAAAGTTCTGTACAAAAATGCTGCGCAAGGCAAGGAACAATATCATCTTGAACGTATTGATTGCATCTCTTAAGCAATAGCTCCATCACACAAATTGAAATTTTTGTTACTCTTATCGAGTGCTATTGGCTGGGTAATCCCGCTCTCTTTAAAAGTTGCCATGAAATAGTCTCTCAATCCACTTCATTGAAAGGGGATCAAGACCAATCAAAAGAATAGAGGTATAAAAACCGGAGGTTTTACTTCTTGTACGAATTAAATGACAGTAAAACACAAATGCACACCTTATCACTCAATTTACTTGACTTGGAATTAACTAAAGCCAGAATTATTGACGAGCGTGTATCCCTGGAAGAATTACTGGCTCATTTTATGTTACAAAGCAATACATTTACACATTCAACATCTTTTGTATTCCTTAAGTGTATTATTGGAATTAGAATATAAAGGAAGGCGAAATTTTAAACTGTTTCTTCTAATCTGGAAATTATTACAGGTGATCTAGCTAGGAAATGGATCGTCATATGGAGACCTGGATTACTCTAAAGCGTTATTGTGTATGTGGTGATGGTTTAATTGAGTGTTTGTTTAAAATCAAGTGAAAATATTGTGAAGGGTATGTGTGTGACGGCCCTGCGCTTTACACGCATAATTGGTCATGTGCAAATATTAACCATGTCGCCGTATAGCATGGCTCTCTTTGGTATGGTGTGGCTTTTACGTGTGCGATCAGAAATGAAGCGTTGCGCAAAATGTAGACGACAAGAATTAGCACAAGCTGAGGATCGCGCACCTCCGGCTACTTTCTTTACAATAGACACCCCTAACGCCGTTCCTTGTCCAGATACTGTTAGCCCAAGCCACAATTTAGCACCCACGACATACTGCGAAGTTCACGGGTATAATCCACCAAAGGAAGGTAAGTGTGCCCATTTTGCTAATATTAATGCGATCCATTTTGTATTAGGTACCTATATGTATTTCCATAAAAATGTATATCAAGAAATGTATTGCTTCATGGCGTATCTGTTAGATTGAAAACCAATTTGACTTTATTGGGGAGCGAGTTGTGTTCGTTCCGTTCCCAATAACTTCTACTTTGTTTCATTTTACGATTCCACACTTTCGTGTTCTGAAAGCATTATCCTTAGATTACTTTCAGATATCTGAATTTATAGTAAATCTTTACACGTCGTGTAGAAAATCAGACGGTTTCTTTCCAATGTATCACAATGAATAAATGTACTCCCCACTCATTTTACATAATTCTTTTTGTTCTTTTTCGTTTATTGTAATCTCATTTTACGTTTGTAATCTTATTCTCTTATTCATCTTTCATTCGAGATGTAGCGTGCGACAGATTTTTGAGTTCACTTGACATTTCAGAGGTTTGGGTATCTGTTTAGAATAACGAAATTACATTTAATTTTAATGCTCAGCTCCCTTCGTTTACATTTAATTAAAATTTCAATTCTTTAAGTACACTTCAAGCTTTTTTCCCCGGTTACTTTTAACCATGCTCATATTGGATCATTTATTACCCTTTTCTTATCTTGTTGAAATTGGTACAAACTGTGCTTAGGGAGAGAGGTTTGATAAAGTTCAGATTTTATAATAAATTTTTACATATTATATTTAACTCTACGAATTTAGATAGGTACACACTTTTATCCCAACCATTTCTTTCATCTTTTTCGAAATTTCATCGTGAAGTTAGAGGTTTTGAGGTTTTGGAGATTTGAGTAAACTTTGAGTATTGAGAATCATTAATTACCCAATGCCATTGAACCTGTTCGGCGCAAATTGAGCAAATATCTGTTCTTTAGTCATGGAATATGTCCTGAGAAAAACCTTGATCATCAAGCAATAGTTCATTTATACGACATATTTTTTAGACCGGTGCTTACTTTACCTATACGGCTATATAATTTTTAACTTTTTTTCTTTATATATTCTTATATTTGTTAGATAAGCAGTATTTAGAATAACTTTATATTCGTATAATGATAAATTCTCCTTTATATATTTTAGTTTTTGGTTGTATAGAGATTATTTTTAGTTTAATGCACACACATATGTTTATTTCTTGATTATTTTTAATCTTCTTATTGCTTGTTAAATTTAATTTGTTTTGTAATATGGCTTTGTACAATAAGCGGACGTACATCTGTTGGGCAAATAAATAAATAAATACTATTATCGAAATTATCAGGTGTAAATTAAAAGTGAGATTTTAAATTGTTTCCCAGATGGATAGTGGTTTTGGTTAGGCTACCTGCGCCCGTTCTTATACTAAATGACGTATAATAAATCAGCAAACTTGTGTTTTTTAATTCATGTGGGAAGTTATTCTATCATATGAATAATTAGACACCATAGTCTTCGGATATGATCCGCCAATATAGGAGTTAAAAAACCACAAACTAGTTAAATGAGGGTCAGTTACATTTCATAGTATGATAATGAAGTTCTCAGGTGTCGAAAAGGGAACATTAGATATCATGGGCAACATTATTTTTTGCGTTCGAACTGTCGTTGATAATAACGGGTAGATCAAGGTTAAAAAAATTGTTTGTAAAGATTTTCGAGTTTTTCACCGGAAAAGTTCCGATCGAAGTAGAGGAATTGTTGTTGATAATAAGAACATTTCAAATGCTCCACCCGTATAGTTAGGGGAATACAAATAATAGTTATTTATTATACAAGACGATAAAGGGATATTTTAACCATTAAGTGAAAGATGTTAATTCACGAGTTGGTTAGTTTCCCTTTGTCGTCGTGTATAATACAAAACCTTATTTTATAGCAGAATCCATATAAACCACTGCAAAGCTTCTGACATTTCTGAATTTAATATCCTCACGACAGTTGACTAAATCTTGGGAGAGGCAGCAACGCCAGGCATATGTCAAAGTTTCAAGTTTCAAAAATAGTAAGCTTAGATCCTGCTGTCATGATCGTTTCCATAGAAACAGAATTGTCATGCAGGGTGTTTCGAAATTCGCGCACACGGACTATGGGATGGTGTTATACGACAAAAACTGAACAAAAAGTTCCTCTACCAGTTTTCCATCAGACCGCTATATTTTGAGCTACCCACAGGTTAAACTTAATAATAACATATTTTTAAAAACAAAAGAAAGTTCAAAATAAACTATAATTATGACGAGTACGTAATTACAACAGTTGTTCAAAATGTCCGCCGTCTACTAGTAAACAAGCTTCAGCACGCCGAAAAAAAAAGTGCCGGTCTGATCAAAAACTGGTAGAGAAACTTTTTATTCAGTTTTCGTTGTATAACACCATCCCACAGTCCGTGTGCGCGAATTTCATAACACCCTGAATGTTTTAAACGTCATTTTATAACGTGCATTTGAAATAAGAATGACAGATGTCATTAGAATGCACAATCGTTTGTTTCACTTTATCTACCCTTACGGTTAAAGTGATCACTTTATCTATCCTTACGGTTAAAGAACGGCTTAGCCTACTCATTCAAACGTATTAAAATTTCATTGTAACATATGCTATAAATAAATAAATAGAGACTATTACCGGTCGAGAGGAAATACCCTTAGTTAAGAGCATTTGGTAATATTGTTATGCTATATATTATACGTCACTAAGGCTGCGATTCCGCCTATGTTAAATGGAGGGAAAACATGCTTCCGTATTTCATGTTCATCTCAAAAAGTCCTCAATATTTTTTGTATATCTAGTGGAAACACATTTCGTCTCTACAGTATGAAGTATTTTTGGAATCCTTACCTTTTTGTTGCTGTCAAATATTGAAAATAATACCAATTTTTTTAAATCATTTGATACAGGAACTGGAGTGATATTGAAGATAAACAACGTGTAGAGACATGTTTCAGGAATTTAAGTATAAAATTTCATAATCAAATTCCTACTCGTTGCAAAGAGGAACATTAAATACGGAAGCATGTGTTCCCTATATTTAGCATAGGTGGAATCCCAGCCTTAAACACTGTCGTAATAACGGCTAAAATATCAACAAAAACTTATTTGTTAGAATGTTTATTGAAATTATGTGTGCAATGCTGCAATCGTGCCTATTGGCGAGGTCTCCTATTATACTAAATAACTGAATAACTGTCGCTTGCTGGTAATAATAAACAACAGAAAGTAGCTGTTCGAGAAAAAATATTTTTCATTGGATGCTAAAATCCCAAGGTTGCCGTCGGATTCTTAAATGCACTTGCCTGGAGATAAATTTCCATATTGTCCTTAATGTAATTAGGCTGCCCCTGTCCGTACCTACACCGGATTCGAACCATTCATCTGCCAGAATATTCGTTTTACGAAGTTGGTCTCGTTTATTGTTAACATATCCAATTAAATAGTTGAATCTCTTTAAGAACCAGTGTCCTAATTAATCATTGTTTGCAGGTTTCACAGAAATATCTAAAGTAAAATTTAATTAGTCCGCTCTTAAAGAATTTAAAGGATAAATTGTTGAGCCTTTTATTTTAAATGTCACTTGTATGTTTATGAACCTATTGAAATTGGATTGTATATAAAACAAGTCAGTTTTTCTCTTAGATTTTATTCAGGCTCGGTAGCGAAATGCTCCTAACTCATGGGTTCATTTAGGGTATATTTCTTTTAAATTGTGAATTATAAATTTTCCTATATAGATATACATTGTTGCTCATATTTGGAATTTAAGTTAGATGTATGTTACAGGGCACATGACTACAGTAACGCCTTATTTACATTTACAAGGGTTGAACACCCTTGTAAGTATTAAATAAAAATGAACCTGTACGGCACAGGTGAAAAACTTACTAAAACAATTAATTATATTTTTTGCACAGGCAGCTCTGTAATACAATAAATTTTATTCACCCCTTATCTTGCGGAAGTTTGGCCTTTTATGTCCTTATATACATCTGAAAATCAAAACTTTGATGCTTCGGTTCAAGTACCGACCACATAACTACCAACGTTAAATGAATTGATTGAATATATTCGGAAACTAAAATCGCTGCACTTTCAATCTCCTTTACATTTTCTTGGATTGAAAATGTTCTGGTTCACAAAAATACAAATAACAATATAACTCCTAAATCGTGATCACATATCAATGCTACAGTTGTCCGCTGACCTGTAACTATAATGTTGCTTATATGATACATGCTTGGCAGGTTCTTCACACAAAATAATTACGCATGCCTTAAAACTAGAGAAAATTTAATTCAATCAAAGAAATCCTCGAAGAAATCCTATTCTTGAATTGAGATATAAAATCTTCCAAAGACTGAAAATCGACCAATTCCTGTGTATGAATCCAATAGTTATTTACATATAAGTCAGGAAAATGATACATTACTGTCGAAGAAATATTGAAGTACGAGGCCCCGAGTACTTTAATTTCCGAGTCAAGTATTGTCACACGGACAAATCGCGCCCGGATAAATATTCCCCGGAAAATTCGCCCCCGGAAAATTCGCTCTTCGGCGTTTCGCAGTGGGACAATTGAAATGGGAAAATTCTAGCGTTATCACGCTAAAATTGGTTATATTAATTATGTAAGCGTCTTCACGCGAATGGAATAAATCCTCTTTTGGTAAAGTAAATGTGAAGTTATTTTCATAAAATTCCTCTTTGTTAATACTTGCTTTTTAGGTTATGCCGTATATGTTAATATAATTACCTATCTTTGTATTACCTATGTCGCAATCCGAAACCCATTTATTAATGGGGTACGTAAGTTCGCATTAACTGCAATTAGGTCTTATTTTGGTATTGTAGTTTTTGGATATATTTTTATTTGTTATGAGCATTCGGGTAATCGTATTAAAGACGTACCGTGTTTGGAATGAAATACTGTTACCTGTCAATTAGCTAGAACTGATGTATTGCATTGTATCTAAGGTTGAAGAATCGTTAAGCAAA